GGTTATGATGTAAAATGTCTTATACTCATGATGAGATGAAAAAAGAGCAGCAATATAGTACTTTCGATCCTTTTTATGATTCTTAATTTCCTTTATCGTTTGTCCAAAAAAAAAAATTTCCTTTATCAGAGTTTACCTAGTGTTACATTATAGTAAAAAAATATTGAGATATATCAAAAACATTAGAATTTTTTTTGGTGATTTTATCTTAATAAAAAAAAAGAGAAATTAAATTGTATAACGAACGAAAAAATTATATTAACACTTTTAGTCATTAAATTTTTTTTTAGATAATCACTAAACTAACCTATTAAAAAACAAGAACGAATATATTTTAGAATTGAGTTCAAGATATGAAAATATTTGAATCCATGTTTTTCTAATACGTCTCGTTACCTTGAAATTTATCTACCAATAAGTCAATACATATTAATGGACTAACAACCCAAACTTTTACCAATACTATATACAATTAACACTCCCGAGCACCCTTTTTTTTGTTATAAATGTTGCATCTAAAAATAAGCATATATAACACATATTGTATATGTAATCTAGTGGTTTATGCAAACTATATTTCTGTAATAATATTCAAATTCAAACCCACATAATCTTCTAGTGGTTTTCGTTATCTTTAATTTTTCGTTCTCTTAATTTAAAGGTGGACTGTTTGGTGCACGTCCTAGAGACTTTATTTTATCATTTGTAAATAATTATCCGCCTGATTAGATTACCAATTATGGAGACGTATTTTGATTAATAGTTTGGTTGAAAAAAAAAACCTCATAATCCATGTTGTTGATAAAAAAATATTAACTATAAAAACGTTTATTAAGAGATGATTTATGTCACGACCGTGTCCCAGATATTTTAAAGTTTTGAGCGAAAATATTTATTGGATCGATAATGAAAATTGGGCAAAGGAAAAGCCCACTAAAGTGACTTGAAAATGTTGGGTAAATATATTGTTTTATCTTCAAAAGCCCATAAACCCAAAAATATGTTTAATCGAGAACTAAACTAAAAATTAGTCAAAACCCCTAAGGAAAGGGATCTCTTTGACGAGGAAGGAAAAAGAGGCAGCTCTTGAGGCCGAGAGAAAGAAAACCA